GTTGGTCATTATAAAGAGAATAATATAAGAAAAAGCTGGTGGTTGAATGATAGTTTGGTGCCTCCCTGAGCGTAAATGATCAATGATTTGAATTAAAAAAAAAAAGGTCACTAGAGAAGTAAGGTGATTTTTTTCTTACCCAAAATTCCACTCAATATTCTTCTATAGCCTTTGATGAGGAAAATAAAAAGAAAAATCCTGTGAATATCAGATTCTCAATTTGACCCAATGCTTCTTTTTTTCCTCCCCTTCAACAAAAAGTTTTTTTCATCAGTTTTTATACCCCCTACCCCATAGCTTGTATCTATGCTAGGCTTGAAAAAAGATAATTTTGAATCCTGATTTACAAGAGAGAGAAGCAACATTTATGATTTCCAGTACTATGAACTAATGGATCCTCCTTTCATTATTTCCCAATTATCTATCATTTGGAGTCTGTTTCACAGGAAAGGCTTTTACACTGTCAAATCTCAGTGATCTTCTTTATCAAGAGATTTTATTTATCTGCTCAGACAACATAATTGAATCAGTAGCTCATAGTTTTTTCCATAAATCCTACATATTTTTTCTTCAATTACCCATCTTATAAATTCAATATAGATGGCCAAGATAAATTATTTATTTTATAAAATTTATATAGCTGCCCATCTCACAACAAAAAAATCATGTTCCAAGTGAAGTAAAGACTTCCCCCAGTTTAGCTCAAATTCCTATGGTCATTTGGGATGTCAATGTATTTTTTTTTTTTACAACAGTACCCAAGTGATTTGCCATTGCCTTCTTCCAGGATTATTTTTTTTAAAAAAAAAACCCTACAAATTTGAGATTCCCTGATGGTCTCTCATTCATCAAGTCCAATCCTCCTTTGCTTTCCCAAAATTAACCAAGATTACAAGGTTACTTCATTTGATATGTCAAAATGGCTAGTAGTGTGACTGTATTCTGTTGCAGTTGGTGATGTAGCCTTTCCTTCCACACTTTTAGATCTTTATTACTTCAGTCATTGGAGCTGTCAAGCAGTACAAATGTCCAAAAATTTCTCCCATTTCCCAGAATGGACTGTAATTATGGGATGATAGTGTTTAATATATTTCTACTGATGAAACCTTTACAATGAGAAAAAGAACTCCGTTATGTTCTCCATAGATCCAATAAAGCAAACCCTTCTGCAAGTAATATTTCCAACTCTACAGATCTGATGTATACTAAACAAAATGGAAATTATCATTATCCATATTCTTTTTGCTCTAGAAAATAGTTTTTCCATTTTATTTATTTGTCTTAGCAATATATACTGTAGCTACACAACACACAGTATAGTGACCCAGATGGTGAACCAAAAGATTAAGAGCAAAAGAAAAACAAGTGTAAATAATAACTAGAATAGAGATATATGTTCAAGGTCTAATTCCATGTCTAATTCCAATTCAGTCAGCAAGACTCATGTAACCACCTGTCCAGTGGGATTCAAATATGTGAACAACTGGTTCTTTGTGTGGGTGCTGCTTCCAAAAATCCATTCTGGGCCTGGGCAACAAAAAATTAGCTAAAAGTTCTGCCAAACCCACCACTGCACCTATTCCAAATCCTGGAAATAACCAAATCCTCAATACCTTACAAGAGGCCAGCAAGAGCAGTATCATCTGGATCTTTCCTTCCAAAAGGCAATTGATGCAGTATAGAATGATTTCCCATCACACCACTGATCTGGAGGATAAAGGGACATATAACATTCCTTTACAAGGTGCAGAGAAGTGTTGTGTTTTACTTTTTTTGGGGGGGGGGTCTTTCACAATAAGCTTAATGAATTTCTACAAAATAGCATACTTTCATATATTTCATACTATAAAGCTTTAAAAGATCATAGGTTAATTATATCAGCATTATTTTCTCAGAATACTGTTTTGAGTAGCTTGGTCTTAAAATGAAAAAGAAATGAATAAAATTAATGTCATATACAGACAAACTATGGACAATCATAGAAGATCACCTTGCATTCTCTTTCTTTCACACCTCTGCTTCAGGAGTCCTTGGAAAAGTTTTTTCTAAGATCTTACTATACCAATAGTCTAAGTACCACAGATAATTGAAGCATTATTTATATAAGCAAGTTTTCCCCAATCTGACATTCACCAGAGGGTTTGGACTACATCTCTCATCATATAAACCAGATTGGCCAATTGCCATGTAGGTGATTGTATGTTAAGAATCAGTAGTGCTAATGTACATCTTAGACGTTTCATTCATTTATCTTCAGCTGATCATCAACCCTATTCCTTAAAATCAGGCCACCTTTATTAAAAGCTATCACATCCTTCCCCTTTATGTTAGTTTGGAAGGCACACAACATATCTATTTTTAAGTTCATCAATTCATGCTCTTTTCTTCTTTTATATGTCACAATCCTGCATTTGGCAAACTAAAGCTATATTGTCTTTTAATAGTAGAAAAACCACCCAACTAAACATTGTGTTCCAAGCAGGAATTAAATCTGAAGAAGCACTGCAAAGAAATTTATGAGAAATTGTTCTTAAGTCGAGGACAACCTGAATCTCTTTGTCTTAGTCTTAGTCATTTAGCTGTCTAATTTTTTTCATTGGTTCTATAAACAACCAGGTCTGATGTATCACTCTGATAATCCTGAAGCTTTTCAAGCCATGGCTTATCTCAAGTCTTGAAACTTTAGCCATTTTTAAGCCTGTAGTTGGAAAAACCAACATTTCTAATACTAAAAGCTTCTTTAAGGAATTTCTACAAATGGGTTCAAAGCATTTTAAAGACACAGGAGCTAAAATAAATTTGAACAGAATATTTACTGTGCTGGATATAACCTTTAAAAAGTGCTATAAATTCTTCATTTGAAAAAGTAATATCAGGGAAATAAAATATACAAATTGTGATGTCATAAGCTGAAAATTTCCATGTGCTAATTAGCAAATAGAAGAGTTGTTATTTCCTGTTAACAAATCATGCTGCAGGGCATGCTTTGTAATTGCATGAGTCATTTATTCTGAAAGTTGTGAGTGCTTTGAATTATATATTTTAGCTTTCTTGTTTTTGAAACCAGTTAAATTATATAAAGTATTACTGAAGAAGTTCTCAAAAGTTCATTAATATATTAACCATGTATTTGTCAAAAATTCATATGTCATTTTGAAAAATGCTTTGTATTTGAGCTCTAACTAGAACATATCCTTCTTTAAAAAGAAACACAGTATATTTGTCTATTTGAAAAGAGTATCATTAAGTGCAAAGGAGCTCAGTATCAAATGAGAAAAACTATAAACTTATTTCTCCTGATTTTTAGCTGAAAGGTTTTTATTTTTACAGAAACCTAAATTATATTGAGAACAATTGGAAACTCTTAACGTGTTTTTCACTCATAAGAGACTATAAGACTTTGGCGAAGACTCACCCCCCCAAAAAATCCAGTCTTAATTAGAAATTACATGTGAACAGGACTAGGTTGGATCCCAATAGCTCCAGTCACTATAACCATTGGTTCTGCATCCCCACTCTAGGTATTTTAGTATTCCAAGAGAAACTAGAGTGCTTAACTGCAACCAGCATAATCCATTTTAATGAACCCTGGCTAAATCTTCATTTGAAGGAGAGGGAAAGACTTTGGAATATGTTAAACATAATTCATTTGGGAAACTATGCATGGGCCTACCTCTAGCAGGAAAACAAATCAATGACAATTCATTCTAAACCTGAGCTAGAAGCACTGAACCCTAGAAGCATATATGTCTTAGAATTCAAAAAGATGAGAAATGAAAATGTGCCTGGTTACAAGATGTTCTTGCACATCTATTCAGGAACTATTCCTTTTTCCCAATGGTCCCTTTTGATTACTTACTCCTAGACAAACAGTGAAGCCTCAGGGAAGATTTAAAAAATCTAGGACAAAAACATCTTTCACTGAAACGTGTGACAGTTTTGGTATACTACTGATAACAATTTACTAGTTAGTTCCCTGATTTGATGTTACTTGAACGTGATCTCACTTGAGCACTCCTACACCAAAACATCGGTGTGCAAACTCAATTTATTCATCAAGTTCCTCCACTCTCTGATGATGAATATCAGATTAACTCATAGCCTTCCTTTGAGCTTAACTAGAGATATTTTAGTAATCTGCCTGGCCTCTGTCGTCTTGGTTATAGATGAGTCACTCTCTCTTATACAGAGAAGTTTTTCAAAGAGAAATTAGCATGTATTCACTTTAACTCATCATTATCAACATTGTTATAAATCAAATTTTTTAAAATAAAAAAATAAAATGGTGACCTGTATGAGTTTTAATTCTTCATAATAAGGATGTGATGTACTCCCTGAATATCAGTTGTTTTTGTGCTATTGAGGGGAAAGGGGCATGGAGGACACAGTGACTTTCCCTTTACTATGGTTCTTCTTGAAACAACTGTGACTCTTCTTGGATTTAAGATGGCAATGGACTGGATAAGTGTTTATTCTGACTTCTTCAATTTTTACCTACATCATTTCATCACCAAAAAAACATCACCCAAAAAACATTGCTGTAAGCCATGTTGGAAGAATTCTTCCGATATAGATGAATGTATTTAATTTGGTGTTCTCCTTCCAAAAGAATTTTTTTTTTTCTCTAGTATTCCTGCTATTGGAGGAAAATGACACCCCCAGTAGCAGCATGGCTAAGAGAGCTATTTCTAGGAGCACTAGTAATACAGCATGTAGTCAATGAAGAAGATTAACCAAGAAGTCATTTTTCTCTTGATTCCCTCCTTATTTTTCACAATTTTGACTATTTGAAGTAAAAATAATTCTTAACAGAATTTTCAGCCCAATTCCCAATTACAGTTACATTTGGAAATGCAACTTTTTGGGGGGAAAACTAGACACAAGGCTGGGTAATTGTTTTCATTACTGAGATATTGTTTCTCAGATTCTATACTTTATCAAACTTCAAATATAGCACACATTTGTATCTGAATAACTTTTTTTCTGTTTGTATTTTCCAGGACTGCCCACAGTTATTTCCTACAGAAGAAATTTTGATCCCTGTTGGTGAAGTGAAGCCCATCACACTGAAAGCTAGGAATTTACCCCAACCGCAATCTGGCCAGCGTGGATATGAATGTGTTCTCAATATCCAAGGTGTGATTCATCGTGTACCAGCTCTTCGCTTCAATAGCTCAAGTGTACAATGCCAGAATAGTTCGGTAAGATGATAAAATTTGTGAGATGGGAAGATGTAATAAAAATATGTAAAAAAGTTCAAGATTTATTTATTTGCTACATTTGCAGAATTCATTTTTTATATTGGTGAAAGAAAAGTCTTCATCCTGGTTTATCCAAGCCGGGGATAAATAAACAACATGGCGACTGCTTTAGAAAGAAGGTTGCAGTTTATTGAAGAGCCAGACCGAAAGATGGTTCTGGCAGGAAAGAAGAGAAAGATGGTTCTGGCAGGAAAGAGGAGGGCTGAGCACATGTGGGTAGTAGGTTTTTATACCCTCTGAAAGCCTTCTGTTTGGAATAGTTTCTTGTTCCTGTTTTAGGCTATGTATTTCCTGTGTCATGTATTCTGACCTGAGTCTGGGTGTGCCTTTCTGGTATTCTGATGGTGATGGGTTAGGATTAGGACATAACATATCCTGCTTCCCTGGTGTTGGGGCTAATGACTCTTAGAATTTGGGTGAGGTATGCAGATTTTAGGTGTCTTTGTCTTCTTAAGCTTCTAGCTCCAACTTTCCTGATGGTTTACATCTGCATTTGTACAGGGCTGCCCTCTGCTTGGCAGAGAGAGACTTGGGGGCAGGGTTGGTGTCTGCTTTTAAAATCCTTTTGAGGAAATATATTTTTTTGCCTTTTTAATATTTCCTTCTCTGCTGAATAAAAAGAGGTGTTAAAATGGACATGGTGTCTTATAGACAGCTACTCAGATGGGATGGACAAAATTGGCAACTAAAATTACGGGAGGAGCTAGCACAAGAAAATATTATTTATTCTTGGTTTCAATATAGGCAATTAGCAGATAGATGGAAGGCGGATTGCAAGGTGGGCTTTCTTAGAGAAGATGAAAATCTTATTAAGCAAGTGAAGGATCAAAGACAAGCCCATATTAAGAGAATTTATGGGGTGCTAGTTGAATTGGACTCAGAAACGGAATTAATTAAAGATTGTATGATTAGATGGGCCCAAAACTTTGGTGAATCAGTCCCATTGGATACATGGGAAACCATTTGGGTAAGAAATGTCAAATTTACACAGGCACAGAATTTAAGGGAGAATTTTTATAAAATGTTTTATAGATGGCACCTTGACCCACAAAAAATGTCTTTCATGTACCCGGACTTACAGCCTAAATGTTGGAGATGTGGCTGCTTGGATGCCACCTATTACCACATTTGGTGGTCGTGCAGAGAGATAAAAGCATTTTGGATTAAGATATGGTGGAATATTCAGAGAATTTTCAGAAGGAGGGTAAAATTTACTCCGCAGTTATTTTTGTTGGGTATAGTTACTGATTGTGATACAAAGGAGGTTATATTGATGTTAAATTTGATTACAGCTGCAAGGCTGTTAGTAGGACAATATTGGAAGAAGGAATCCTTGCCTACACTGCAGGAATGGTTTTTTAAAGTGTCCTATCTGGCGGAAATGGCAAAGATTTCGGCTTTCTTAAAGGAACAAACGCAAGAGAAATTTCTTGCTGTTTGGGATAAATGGATAGAATTTATACAATTTAAATTGGATATAAAAAAATATCATATTGCTTTTTCATAATTCTTATTTCTATATACATGTATATATATTTCAGTTTTAATTTTTCTTTTTTATATATAATTTTTTTTAATTCTTTTTTAATTAAACCTATATTCTGCTCTGGGAAGCTCAGGGGGGGAAGGGGGGGTGTTTTGGGGGGGGATGGGGAAGGGGATGTTATGTTTAGTTTTTTGTATATGTTGTTTTCTGTTTTTGAATTGTTGTATTTTTTCTTGTTTTTTTGTAAAAATTTATAAAAATTTTCAATAAAAAATAAATAAATAAATAAAAATAAATATTTCCTTCTCTGGGGAGCTGACTTCCCTCAATATATTAAAAAAACCTTTGCGATAAAATAGTTTATCCCTATCCCCCCCCCCAGGAAATTGTAAAGTACAAAATAAATCCATTTAAAATAAAAGCAACAATTTAAACCTACTTTACACAAAAAAGAACAAAAGAAAAAAAAATGCATTCTAAAGGCTACAGATGACACGATTAATTGGTAGGATTTAATATTCTTCAACCTCCACAAATAAAGCAGGAAAAAGTCAAACCGACATTTTAAAAGCCTATATTTTATAACTTTGGGGCAACCAGAAATAAGGTCCTGCTTCCGATAAATGTTTTCTTTCTGAAGGATAATTCTAAGTGGCTGCTCTCACTGGCAATAGAATGCACATAGGAGAAACACCATGTAGGTAGTACAACCGATATAAATAAGATTTAAATCCATTTTCCACAAGAGAAAAATAAATCTTGCCATCTCATTGTCAAAATCATATAAGCTGTAATCAGGATCAGCATTAAAGTGTGGATGACTAAAAAGATCATAGAGCTTCATGCTCATTAGAAATGTCAGAATAGAGGTAAAAAGAAACACAGTGTTATAAATAGGGTTAGCTGACCGGGTACCATAACTTTATCATGTCTTGATTAATATTGTGAGAACTTTTCTTCTTCTTTTAAAAAATACTAGTAAAAAATAGGGTGAATAAAGAGTCAAATACAATATATACAGGTACGGAAAAACAACTAAATAATTAATTCCTCTTAGGATAAGTCAATGTATTTTCTCTTTTTCCCTTTCTTGGATCTACAATACAATTAAATTATACGAGAGAATCATAGGTTGGCATAGCTACAGTGATGAACTGGTAATGTTCATTTATATTCATGTATCCCAATAAAATAGATTGACAACTCTTCTTTATACATGAGTGCTTTTCCTCATTTATAGCAAACTTATAAATTTCCTTGTATAGTCACTGATGAAATTATGTGTCTATATCTGACACCAAAACAACTTGAGAGACTGAGAATAATAAGATATTCTTAAATGATACAGTATAAGAAGTTTTGTTATTGTATAAGATTCCTGTGTTCTTTTCACTATTCTGTTAAAAATTGGGGAAGGAATTGATATTGTCACAGTTTGCCCAAAGCCAAAATAAAAATCAACTCAGTTTAGTACAGGGTTGCTTAAGAAACTGAACCACCATTTAACAATTGAGAGATTACCCAGGAGTAGTATGGGCCATTTATTTCTTCTGTCTATGGATCATAGTTGCCCGTTTTTTGCTGCCACAGCAGGCTGTTACATATCACCATGCCATCTTTTCTTTCTAATCCTTTTCAACAAAGTATAGTTTGGGTTTGTTGACTTGCTTTTCTTTTCCCCTCTTTTTGAAAATGAACAGTTTTTAGATGAACTTTGGTAACTGGAAATCTGTCTTACTTACACTTCTTCAGCTTCCCAGAGCTTGCTGCCCCAGATGACAAAGCTGCAGATAAGGCAAATGTAGAGGGTAAAAAAAAAGAAAAGGACTTAGATGCATTTATGCCAGGGTTAAACTAATCCTGAATTCCAGGCGGGAATGTGCTACAGGCAGGTGAGGTGTTTAATTAGAATCCTAGCCCCAGAGAAGATTTTTTATCTGTCAGCTTCCCCTTTGACTGGGGGTGTCAGGAACGGGGGGGGGGCATTGGTGGGGGAGCATATGACAAAGGTGTTAAAGCAAAGCTAATTCACACAGGAGAGATAAAGATAATTGCAGGCCTCTTATCAGGAAGCTGTCAAATTCCAGGCCCCAGTAGCTTGATAGAATGGGTAACACTGGAAAGCTGACTGTTGCTTGGAGAAGACAGGGAAGGAACAGGAATGAAACAGGAGGAAAAAGAATTAAAGAAACATAATCTCTCTTGAACAAGCAAAATAAAAGAGGTCACTGCTCCCTTGCTGGGAATGAAGCAAGAATGATCTCTTAGGAGTGTCGAAGTTAACAGGAATAATAATGGAATCAAATGTATCAATCACTATTGCATTCCTAAAACTGTCATTGCTGTTATGCTAGAATCAACATATTCAAAAAAATAGTGATTTTATTAAACATTATTATAATGTTTGTAAAGAAAACATTTAACTTAAAGAAAAAGAAAAATACATAAAAATAACTTCTCCCTTCATCACAAATATAAAAAAATCGTAACTTATTACCTTTTCTCAAAATGAAGCAAATGATCTCTGCTTCCCATATCTCATCCCTTATCTATAAACTAATTCTTAAAAAGTCATCATTCAGTCCTTGTGAGCAAAAGTCTATTAAGGATTATCAAAGATAATAGAATATCTATTTTAATCTTGATCAAATAAATCAACTTTATATTTCTTCCTTTTACTTTTAATAATCTTGATCTCTAATCCCCTCAAATAATATCTGATTTCTCTTCATTTCTTTTCTTTTTCCTTCTCACACAGTCTTAAAAAATTAAGAAGTCTCTTTTGTAAATTCAATATTATCCAGATTTTGGTTTGTTATTGTACATTCTGTTTAATTATTAAGACATCAGCCAGTTTATTTTGTAGAACCAGTGTAGCATCTTTTTCTATATCTTTCTTGTAGCCTGTTATTTTTAAATCCACTCTTAGATCACTCTTAGTCTTATTTGATAAAACTTATTGCTCTATGATAAAATCTTTTAAAGGCAATAATGTCAGACATTCTTATAATTAACTTCTGGACACTGTTCACAAATTGTTTACAAATATCCTTCAATATGTCAGATGTTGAAATGTTTTGTTCCATTTGGTACTAGTAAGCAAAGTGTTATCCTTTAATTGAAATCTGTGGTCATTTTGGTTCCCTCTAGTGTCCAACCTTCAAAGTCCCATACTTTCATTTTTTAAAGAATTCAAAACAAAGCATTTTTCCACTGAAAAGATTTTTATGATTAATTTAAAAATCTTATTTCAAATCCATTGGTATTCTTAGTCTGTTTTAACATTCCAAATTCAAACTTCTAGTTACACTTTTCCTATTTATTGAAGAGAAACTATTTAGAGTTCTTAGACCTGGATTTAAAATTTGTTTCACTAAGGTTGAAGAAAACTCAGTGTTTTCAAGCTTATCAATCCATAAAGGCACCAACCACTGTTTGATCAAAGATGGCATTC